AGCTTGAATGCCAGCGTAGCCATGCTCGGTATGCATTTTGCACCTTCAAAGTGCAAAATGTTACTTCAAGACTGGGTTAGTTCAGCACCCAGGCTTACTCTAACTGGGGAAGTAATAGAGTAAGTGGGTAAGTTTTGTTATTTGTGCAGCTATATCTCACTCTGTGGACGCATCGCGGATGAAGTGTCAGCTCGCATACAGAAGACTCGGTTGGCATTTATCAAATTGACACATGTGTGGTGCCGTCTCGACATCCGGCTGTCTGTGAAGGGTCGAGTATATGGTGCCGCAGTTTGGCCAGTTCTCCAATATAGCGCAGAAACTTGGACATTAATAAAACAGGACAAAGATAGACTGTCGGTGTTTGAACACCACTGTCTACGAAGCATTGCACGAATCTAGTGGGGCAGCTGGGCGAGCAATGCTGAGGTGAGGTGCAGATTTTGGGTAATTGCAGTCGCCCACTGGGGCGAATGTTTGACCTCCATAGATTACGTTGATCAGGGCATATGTTTCGCATGTCACCAGAAAGGTTGCTACGGCGAGCGATGTTTACCGAGGCAAGTGGTGGGTGGAAAAATGTTAACAATGGTCAAGCTAAGACCTGGCACGAGGGTATGCAAACCCCGACCAGAGGACTGGATCACATAGGTCCTGTTAGTCTTCCTGGAAGAGGACCTCTGGATGGTCGTACCTGATAGTTAGAGACACTGAGTTATATGGCTGAGTGTCGTAAACAGTCATTACCATCATCATCATTGTACAGCGTAATACAGTGTAGCGAACATTACTGATCACTGCCAAACTCATAATGCATACAAGATAAGTGAGAATGTGTAGGCGGGACAGGAGGGATTTGGCCTATTTTTAGAGACGGGAAAACAAAGCGAACCTCTATGATCAAAATACAGAGTACACAGTCCGACTGTGCATGCATACTAGTTCAAGCATTCTGGACTGATGAAAAGTGACAGTTTGATCGCCCTTACTGTCGGTTTGCAGCTATGACCTTTAGTGTCTCCAACCATGTGGTTTCCGAGTCTTCTAGACCCCAATCCGGAAAACGAGAGACACCTACTCTACCCAATCACTCTGTGCATTTATTTATACCCCGTCTCCGTGCCATCTGCTGTCCTCCACGTGGTTTTCCTTAGCCTGTAACAGCCACTGCAAACAAGGCGCGCTGCGGTAGGCGACCGTCGGACATACGCAAAACGTGTCCTAACCAACGGAGCCTAATGAGTTAGACTCGATGAGATAGCGAGTTCTTGTTTCATGTATTCCCAAATACTCGACGACTTACTTCTAAGCTACTAACCCGCTCACTCCATCCGACTTGGGCCAGACTACGTAAGCATCGACTTTCGAACATTGCTGAACGACGCGTGTCTTCTACCCGCAAATTCAAGATCCCAACCGTAAACCAGAATTGATCTTACAGTGGCGCCTTATATGCGACTTTTCAACTTCAGTGAAACGTCACGTAGCCGCCACAGGTGTTTCAGTCCTGCGTACGCTGCTCGAGCCTTCCAAATGCGGGCGGTTATTGCTTTTGATGCGCTATCGTCCTTGGTCACGCAGCTACCTCAGTACGAGAAGCAGTCAACTTCAGCTAATTCCTGAACGTCTAGTTTCAGAACAGAACTCGGTGAGACCCAAGCTTGTAGCATCATTTTGCAATTTTAAGGTGCTAAGCACATGCCGAACAGAGCGACGGAACTTCGTAATCTGTCAAGTGCTGTTAGTGCATCCTCCATACATTCGAACAAGCAAAGGATGTTATCAGCGTACTCCAAATCCCACAGCTTTTTTCCAGCTGCCCATTGAATGCCTACATTTTGGAAACCACTTAGTGTGTTCTTCATTATTTCGTCTATGACGAAATTGAGCAGGAATGGAGAAAGAGAGCATCCTCGACGAACACTATTGCTAGTTACGAACGACCTACTCAGCTGGCCGTAGATACTTACAATACTAGAGGTACGTGAGTAGAGTGAAATCAGTATATTCACATGCTTCTGCGGCATTCCTTTGCGAAGGAGTGAACCCATAAGGGATTCACGATTAATTGAGTCGGAGGCTCCTTGTAGGTCAAGGAACACGACAACCGTTAGTCGACGGTGCGTATGGCGTAGTTCGAGGACTTGACGCAGGGTGAAGATTTGATCGATACAACCGCGACCTGGTCGAAATCCTGCTTGTTGTTCGCGGATGTTTGTCCCCCTAAACGATGTCAGACGTCGAAGTAAATGGAGACCAGTACCTTGGTGACGATTAGGATCAAACGTATGCCACGGTGGTTTGCGCAGTCATTGCGAGATCCCTTCTAAAAAATTGGAACGATCAGTGATTCACTCTAGGATGATGGAATGCGCTCGTGTAATCAGATGTTACGCATTAAATCAGTAATGGAGTCTACAAGGTTATCGCCCCCCATCTTGAAAAGAGTGAGAGGAAGCCCGTCTGGCCCTGCTGCTTTTCCCTTCTTCAGGGCTTGGATAAAAGAACGGACTTCTGCAGTAGGAGGTTCAGATGACTGCCCGTGGAGCCTGATTAGTGCCTGGCCAGCTGAACTGTTCGCTGAAGTACTCCGATCACCGGTCAAGCAGTTGTTCCCTATTGTGAATAGCTTGCCCACTTTTTTCGCAGACTGTTTCACTAACTGTGGTTCGCTGACCTCCCGTATTGTATATCATTTGAAACAGTCTCTGACTATTCCATGATGCAGCTGCTAATTCCATTTCACTAACTACCGGTACCCACCAGTTCTCACGGTCTTTTTTGAGGCTCCTGGTGAGATGGCGTTGTAGACGCCACCTAACCCTGCTTTGCTCCCGGGTGGTTGGGATTTGCCGCTTTTTGTCCATTAGTGCTTCTGACTCATCAGACATCCAATGCCTCCGGCGGGCTACTGCTTCAGATCCAGAAGCAACGTTCGCTGCGGTGTTCATTGCTCGGCTTAGTTGATCCCATTGTTAATTTACACTACCACCCCTCAGTGCGTTTAGATCCTGCGTCAGTTCTAATTCAAAACGGGCACGAACGGGTAGGTTTGATAAGCGTCGTTCTGCCAATCGAGTTTGATGGAATATTCTGCGACCAGTGAGTTGGAGAGTGAACTGCATCAAAAATAACGCATGATGAGATTCAACGCAGGTGGTCCCTTAGGACCTGCAGTTTTGTACTGAGCCACGCCTATGATAACTTACTGATATGTGGTCGATCGAAGTTAGCGTTGAATTTGCTGTCCGTTGGGAGCTGTGTTGGAAGTTGGTGCTGGATAGGAACAGATGAGGATCTGCGCAGAACTGAAGAAGTCGATCGCCATTATCTGTTGGCTGGCATGGCAGAGCACAATGACCGCCTGGGCAAGCTTCCGATGAGCTCAGTTTTCCAACTTGAGTGTTAAACCACCTGAGAGAACAACTATATCCGAGCTTTGGCTCAACCGAATGAGTTCGGTGAGTTTACCATAAAACTCATCCTTTTGTGGGTCAGAATTGCAGTTGATCGGAGCATACGCTGAAGTGATGAATAAATACCTTTTGGCGTTGCTTCCCTTCCGGACGCTGATACACCCTTGGAGCCGCATCGCCCATAAGCGGCCGTTGACGGGGATCCTATCGGCTGTGTTATTCAGTACAATGCCCACACGACGCGCGTCTACCGAACGGGCTTCGTCATCACCTGACGTGCAGAGGAAGAACCTCAAAAACAACCCCGGTGCACTTAAAAGGCATATAATACTAGGATCCTGGATTCGAGTCTCCGACACGCAACAGACGTCAATTCCCAAAGAGTCCATTGTACGCGCCAGACATGCTTATCGACCTACCTGCAACAGAGTCCTCACGTTGAAGGCCCCAGATTCATTGGCTGACGAGGCTTCATAATATGCAATCTATTTTGTGGTAAACTACAAAGCGAGCTACCTCGCAACGAACTTTGGCGAGTGTCGATCAAGTTGTCTGAGGGAATGTTACGGTTGGAAGAAAGGGCAAAGGGGAGTGTTGGGTACGGAAGATAAAGAGTTAAACAAAGGTTGGGTATCTGAGAAGTAGCCCACTTATCACTAACAACCTCACTCGATGCAATTGGCAGCGGACACTGGCGTTCTTGCATCTTCAGAAATTTCTTTGCAACATTAGTTCAATAAACTTTTCCATTTTCTGTTCGATTCTACTTTCAACTTTCCTGTCTTCTCCTATTCTTCATCCAAATGGGTAGCCAAGAAAAAGCACTAAAACCGGCGCACGAAGGTGTATGGTTTGTGGTTATACAAACTGAAACTGAAACAATGTTGATTTTTCCTGTATTCATCATCGTACTTTGTTTACCATATTCGAATTCCGTAATTAAACTGTATATTGGATCTAAGTTAGAGCTACACACACATTATGCGGCATTGCAATCCGCGGTTGGGCCCGATAACTTTTGTAAATTATCCGTACCGGATTCGGCCTAACGACGAGGTCACGGGCAGGACAGAAGCTGAGAGGAACATCTGTGGGCTACAAATTTGTAATCGAATGGCAAGTATCGCGAAAAAGGGGTTTTACCACATATGCAACACCTTGGCCTACAAGTGATTGCTACGTTTGTAGCGCTTGCCTATGGCTGGATTAATTGATTGATTGGTTGGTTGAATAATGCTACCCGCTACCACACACGCACGCACTCACGCTATGCGGACTGACGCTGTTGCAATATCGATCGACTCCATCCAATCAGATATTAGTATTGGACTGTTTGAATGCTTGTTTGATCGCTTTTGGCTGTCGTGTGACGCTTCAGCTAGGTGTTGATCTGCCTACCTTCGTAGGTGTTGCCCGTTCCTGCTTGCTTGGTGGCCTTTGGACCGGCTACATGTGCACCCTCTCCAATAAGCGTGCTGCATAATAGGCTGCATGCTTACTTGCCAAAACCGCACATAACCTCCAGTTGGAGCTCTATCAGAAGTTGATCTGGTACGTCCGTAAAGATTTTATTACTAGTTATCTGTAAGGAATGCTGACGCAAAAACCAAACGTTCAAGCTAAATCCAGTTTTGACAACGGTCCGATCCAGAACATAATAATAAAAACAGAAGTATAAATAGATTTTAAAATCAATTTTCTTTTTTTGTGGGTTTTAAAATAAATATATCATTCTGTCATAAATAATCTAATTAATTTGTGATTTCACTGAGTTGTTATTCATATTTGTAGATTCGTTAATGATTTGTGGATATCTTCTTTTTCCAGCATTCATCAAAACATTCTGTTTAGGGTAGTCTAATTATCAAATTAAATTAAATTTCATCTTCGTTGCTGTTGCTCAAACACATCTTGCGTGATTACAATCTTCAGTTAGGCGCGATAACTGTTTCAAATAACTCGTTCCGGGTTCGACTTAACGACGAAGTGACAGAGTGAAAAGTTGAGAGGCAGATCTATAGGCTACAACGCTGTGATCGAAGGGCAAGTACCGCACAAACGGGGTTCACTATGTAGGCAACACGTTGACAAGTGATGGAGAACAATTTGTATGCATAAAAAATCCTAATGAAATAAAATCATGTCACCCACCGACAGTCAAGTCGAGTGCTGTTTGGAGGAGCCCAAGCCAAAGTGAAGTTTGTAAATCCTCTCAAGTCCTCATTGACCTCGTACTGGTAAAGTAATTTTGGTAAAAACTGCGACGTGAACGCAATAATGAAAGCCTAAAACAGGGATGAACAAGGATCGGGAGGAAGATTTAAGTTTCTTAATACTGCGTTGTTTATGGTAGGATAATTGTAGAAAATAGAATTAAAACACACGTGAAATCTGTAATGCGTACGGAAAATAATACTTTCATGTAGGGAATTTTGCTGTGTATAGATCAAATACAGCATGCTTATTTTCTGCCTGTGATGAGGTCCGTTATTCGATCCCCCGGTTGAGTTGATGGATTCGCTCACTGCCGCTGATTAGACACAACTGGATCGACGGAGCTGCACAGTGCTTCCTAGTTTACCAGTTCATGCACTTCGGTTGGCCTATACACGATGAATTCTCTCTATGTCATTGAGCTCAATTCCCCCTATAATCTCATGAAGAGCAATGCCACAAATTATTGTTGGTTGTTCTGCATGCCCAATAGCCAGCCACTGGTGAGGAGGAGCTATCCAAATGAGATGGTATCTTCTCGCTAATGGTTGTCATTGCGGAAACCGACATTAATATGTTTTGTGTTCCAAATTAAGTAGGTATATGAGCACATAACGAATTAAGCAGTAAGTTTATTGAAAACAGTAAATATGTAGGCGATTCACAAACCGGGGAACAAGCAGGAATGATCAGTGTGTAGGAAGGTAGACAGGCAGGCTGACTCCGGCTCACACGTTACGCTACATGAGAATGCCGCCAAGCCAGCATTCAAACAGTCAGTCAATCGATCAACTGATCGATCCATTAATTTGGCCACGGGCATGTATGAACACACAAATCAGTCAGTTGTAGACCACAACAGTAATCACTCCTGAACAACAAACTGATGTTACTGTGTGCCGGATACTTGTTGCCGAAATGCCCTTAAACCAACTTTGCACGAGAACGTGTACCCCAATTAAACGTAATCCGTGGTCTACGGTGTCAACGATCCACAATGGACGGATGCCCAATAAAAGCACAAGATAAAACGATTCGTATCAAGATGCACATATCGATATGCGTTGAATATAAGCAAATTTCGGAATAAAAAATTAAAGGCCTGAAGGACAAATCTAGAAATGTCGGACAAATCAGTTGGAAAGGCCAAAACGGTCTCTCAGGTTAACCACATGCACTCATGATCATCAAAAAAGAGCGGTCGAATGCGGTCAATGAATTTATCACCGATAAAAGGTCACGAATACCTAATAGGATGAGACTGTCATACAGTTGCATGCATGAGTTGGAGATTTTTTGGTAGCAGGCGCAAGTCAGATATATGTAAAGGGTAGTCGATATTACACCTCTTTCTCTCCATCGCTCATTTACCTCGCACCTGCGGCCTCATCCGAGCAAATTGCTTGTGAAGCGGTTTAACTTGACCTGAGGGGAAACGAAACATGGATTGCTTAACGAGAAAGCGTACGGCATGAAGAAACAGTAGCTTTACACACAGCGGACAAGAGATCAACATCTTGATTCGACTACTACGTAGTGAAATCTGTTCAAGTAAAGGAGAACGTCCTGAATTCCAGGGGATTCAAACAACACCTACCGAATGGTAAATTGAGTTCGAATCAGTCACTGTTAATAATACGCCACCATACTGCTGCTTTACAGTCCACTTCTGGTCGAGCAGTGCTTGAAGTTTCATCCTATGAGACAAGTCAACCCGTAATCTGCATTGGCTACCTGAGTTGGTGGGAGGCTTTTGATGAGAGTTAACAGACAGTCAATTATGTCTCCCTTCGTTGCTGTCGGTCCAAATGAACTGACTGACTTTCACTGAAGACGACAGCTAAATAAACATAAATTGGTAAATAGGTTCAGCTCTGGTATCAGTTAGTTGGCACAGCGGTAACACACGAGCCTTCAATGCGATAGGAATCGGAGTTTAAATTCCGGACGGGTGGACGATGGATAGCACTACTCATGAACTCTATTAAGGGCGGAAGTCTAGTCTATGGTGCTTTACGAGTGTATGCGTGACAGAAGGAACTCAGAATTCTTTGTGAAGGTAACGTCTGAAAGATGTTCAGTTCAAATCAGTAACAATTTCCCCAAACCATTACTCACATGTAACTGTGATTTAAATGTAAAAAATCTTATTTGTCATCAGTGTATAATCTTACAAAAACTTTTCCAGAGTATTCACCCGATTGGTGAATCCAAATCTCTTATAGAAAATTATAGTTTTTTAGTTAAACTTTATGTTGAATATTGGAGATATAACTGAGAAAAATATCTTGCATTCTCGAAAAAATATTGTCATTCTATTGTTAACTGTCAAGGTGTGAGAATGGTTTATTGTTATGATTGAGATTTCATGCGCCCGACGCAAAAACGCGTTGCATTGCATCACAGAAGAAAATTGGCAACTTCGTATCAACCATTCCGGCAGGAGTAAAGTGAATAATCGCATTGTAAAATGCTTTTGAGAATTCGAAGACTATTCAGTGGTAAATAAATTCGATATTCACATCGCACGGTGATCAAATCACTTCCTTTCAACGTTTTTCCGAAATTGAAACGAAGGTTTGGGTAATGAGCCAAATTTCAGTTGCTGTATTCATCTTTTTGCATACTACGAGTTAAGGTAATAAATCATCACTTAAGCACGTATTATACACAAATAGAATTGGCTTTTATGACCAGAATCTACTATCCCTTGAAATTTATGTGAATGAATAATAGGAGAGAAATTCAAAGGATCACGAAAAATACAGTTTTCGTGATTTCACTACTTGGCTTGATATCAGTAGTCATATTCTTCAACTGAAAAATCGAAGCATCCACTCCCTCAATGTGTTCACTCACGTTACTGATAACCGCAATGCGTACCAATACCTCCAGGATCCGGAACCAGACACCGATGTTTTGTGCACGTTCAGCCAACGGCCGTCGGGTTTCACGGACCAGCTTGTTCGCATCTAATCTTATTTCGATCCAATTGTTCAGTAGAGCGAAGAACGGCGCCAGTGGAAATGCCGCCACGAAAATCGTTACGAAACCGAATTGAAGCACTGTGATGAAAAATCATCGGGGCAGTCCAGTATATCAGTGATAAGACAGGATCTGATCTTATTTTGATTGAAGTAAACTGCTTGCGAATACGATAAATTCTGTATACTGCAGGGACGCTCAGATAATTTTGTTTATCGAATCTAAGAACTTTTGTTTCCAATCTTGAATGGTAAAATTGTCTTTTGTACAGTTTCACTCGTTCGTTTAATTTTTATACGTTTGCGCATCACACGAAACCATAAATTTGTATTTCACTTTCGCCTCTCCGATAATGTTTAGATTCTATCACTCCGTTTCATCAGTTACCAATCAAAGCTACGCATTATATAGAGAACTGGAAGAGTTCAATAATACAGTGATTTTCATGTGTTCTGCACTTTACCACAGTATTTATCAACCTGATCAGATAAAGTTTCAAGCAAGCTATGTTCATAATGTTGTTTGGTCATGACCTTAAAATTAATTTCGGGTAACATTCCTGCCTTCCCTTACTGAAAGATTTCGACAGTGCTTGTGTCGGTAGCACTAACAAGGTTCGATTCACATTCATTTAAAATCGGCTGATTTGATTAATTTTTAATTTTTATTTGAGCCACTGGCAATCTCACAATCACAGCGTGTGTCCGGATAGAGATCTAATCCTCGAACTGGGGCAAGCATCAACCAACGCATACTGATAGTTCCTGTTGATCCTAATACGTCTCACGTGATTGCACAGGTTTTAGATTCCTTCACTAGCGATGTTAATGAAACGTTTTGCACACTTCACCTTCGATTCAAAACCCTTTTCCAAAAACTTCCCTTAGTCTCAGTTACCATACATTCAGAATATAACTGCTCTTACACCTTTAAAAATTATTTGTCTGTTCAATGTGATCGGATTGTTACCGGTCCGAGGATATCGACCACTTGCAATTTTTGTAAATCCCCGTCCCCCGATAGAACTATCGAGAGTGCGTTGTGAAAAATCTGAAACGTTCTACTGACAATGCACATATTTTACACTTAGCGCCAAACCCCAAAGTGAATATCTGTTCAAAAACACTTGTATCGCTGCTGGTAGACAATAAAAACATACTGCATTGGCTTTTGTGCAAGCACATCGACTATAGTTCAAACGAACAGGTAGGCAGGCGGTGGACGTACCCATTTCCAAGTATTCATCAAATAGGCCTTCGTAAGGGATCAGTTTGTAATCTTCGACAAACATGCATTCAGTTTGCACACTACTGGTCGACCCGGTGCTTTGTTTGTTCAAATCCTTGGTGTAGGTGTGCCACCAGGTGCGCATCTTCCTGCAATGGAAATGAAGATTTTTTCAGTTTGGATTATTCGCAAGATACGAAGTAAACAAAATATATACAGGTCACTATGAATAAGACCAGAATAGGGAAGTGAAGGAAGAAGGATGGTGAGTTAAACTAACATGATAACGCAGTGCTTTAATCGTTGTCCCCGGAGGGTTTTGGACCCTGTGGTCCGAGGTTCTGGCCACACCACCGACATCGTAGCTGCACAACTCACTTCACATACACCAGGGAATTTGTAAATACGAAACACGACGGTAACCGCTGTAGGTAGGATACGGATTCTATAATATATTCACGCACCCGGTAAAAAGAAGTGAAGAACCCGACTTGATAGAGTGGGATTATGTTTGTGACTCATGTATGGCGACTCCAACGAGTAACGAGGCCGGATGGTGTGCCAGTTGGACTGATGTGATGCTCCTTAGATAGGAGGGATATGTGATCGCTTTGGTGCTACTCAAATTAAAGAGGTAAGTAATTCAGTGCATCTGAACTAAGAACAGTATATCAGTTATACTGAAACGACTCAGAATGAACTGCGGTTCTTACGTTATACTTAAACACAGATGCTTAAACGGAATGGAAAATGTTGTAAGAGAATAAAACGTACTCTAGATGAGATAACATTATCATAGAGGAACTCAACGATCCGTATTTTCAGTACATATACACCTTAAAATTCAGAAAAAGCTGGAAGCGCTTACAAAAAAATGGGCCCACAGAAATACAAATCTTTATTTATAATTGCAATCCGACTGAGTGGTTCCATCGGAACGTAAAACAGACTTTATTCGCGTAACCCATTATTTCATTGATCGTCAGTTTCAAGATATTTATAAAATGCATGCATACTTCTCGTAGCGCAGAATACCTCTCCCCCAAAGGTAGCAACGTCTAGTGAAGGTTGCTCAGCGAAGGCGGAGTACATAAAAATAACTACCGAAGTACCGTCTGTGTACATAAAAAAAGAGTCAAAAACTTAGAAACTGTATGCAGCACATGATAACAGCATTCTCGTCATGTCAATACCTTTCACCATTCATATATATCAACACAGATGATGACACATACATAGCGAGAGATCAAGAGATAATTCATTAATTCTACGAAAAACAGATCTGAAAAATAACGACGTTCCTCTGAGGAATAAGAGCGGAAAATATAAAAATTGGCTAAAGCAAACAACTGATAGTTACTCAGTTACTTGGACTTGGATTCATGTTCGAAGGCCCAAATATAACCGGTGAAGTGAGGAAATGGCTGCTTCACATTCTTGAATCAATGGGGATTATTATAAGACGCCAGGCCTTCTCCGCTGTGGGACGGTCCACTTGATATCCAGTGAAGCCATCAATTCCAGTAATCTCATCAATATCACTTCGTTGCCAGGTCTCTTGTAATAAAATTGCGCCTAATTTAAATATTCCATATGGTACATAAAATCAGATAAACCTGGTAATCGATCGTCCAGGCTATGAACGAGCTTCCAGAGCTGTGACACCTCTTTTTGATACCGTGCTACTCTCCCACTACACCGATCGTTTCGCCAATATCCACGAGGTTTTCTGTAGACTGCGTGGTATATGTTTCTCACTGATTTTCCACATTCAAGTATCTCCGGGATTAAATCAGGGTTTTTGATGTTTTTCATGAACCTGTTATGGAATTGTGCTACTGGCCTCATCGTGATCGCACAATAACGTTAGAGCAACAAACAACAGAGCAATCGGTGTGTAAAAGCAAAATAAATTTCAATGTCTATGTAGCAACAATCGAAAGAAAAATAACACCGCTACCAAATTCAGAGCTCCGCCAATGGAAGGTGTTAGGTACCTTATGCTGTTCTCACATTCCAGAATTCAAACTATTTTAACTATCCGTATCGATTTTTCCAGGGTTGATGGATTATGCTAATGTAACATAAAACCAGATAAAAGCAGTGTAACATATACAATATACAAACACATATATACTACATAAGATTGACGAAGGATTAGGGTTTGAAAACAGGGTAAACTTCGTCGTGCAAAGAGACAGCTATTTCGACCTGGTTGGATTTCATCAATGCAACGAGTGAATTTATCGATCCAAATGGCCATGAACCCGGGACCTCACGTGTAGAGCACAGATATCCTGCCTACTTGCCCCGGGAGAACCAGGTTAAAGAACAGTTCAGTGATTTCTGGTTTTTAAATTCACGCTTCATTTGCTCTTTACACGACAGAATCCACCATCTATATTAGTGTATACGGAAATATGTCTGCATGACCAGTAGAAAGATACAATTTGGCATCGTGATATTACCCCATGAAACAGAACATCAGCCGTACATAATGCTATTGTAATACCCAGTGATGGCCAGGACATGGAGAACAATGGTGTGCATTGTTTCTTCTACTGAAACCATCAATCGAACGGACAACAAACACGTCCGCTGTTTCAAACTCCCACCCCCACACGCAACCACTCATTGATGGGCAGTACTCAGATGGTGTTGTGGTTTGGTTCTCAGTTTGGTTTTAACCTTGTGCCTAGTATCCTTTATGTGTTTGTCACGTTCCGTGGGTCAGTTAACTTAGTCCAATTATTCTGATATTATGTGACAATTGTTCAACCTTCCTGTGATTCAGATGTGTCCCTTAAGTCTTTGGGATTTGGTGAGAAAAGAGGAGCTGAATGCAATTCCAATTTTCAGTTTTCTTTTTAAAGCCTGATTTAACTATGATGTGCTTACCAATGTAAAGTTACCACCCAAATGATTGGTAAAAGATACGTGACGACTGCAACTCATTTCGCAGTTTGCGTGGCATATTTCGATTTAACCCTGATCAGGACATAGTGAAGAAAAGCGGAAATGATGGTCATTGATACCTCAGGCCGAATTCCAAAATATTATCTATTCGCCGCTTTGCAGATCGATCGGTCGAAAACTTTGCATCGATTATTCAATAGATCATCATATACAATCGGTTCAACTTTCCCAATCATTCTGACTGATATCCGGAACAGTGATTTTCGGATTGTAACGTTTAAGTAAACCTTTTGGGAAACAGAACTTGGAGGACCTAATAAAAATGTTCATCGACGGCATTGAGACACGTACCTCAGACTGGGTAGCTTTTTTATGTCGCCCCCTACATCGCACATCGTTTATCGGCGCGAGAGTAGTGCAGGAGAGAAAATCGCCAATTACGCCAAACTATTATTAGTAATCTTTAATCCAAACTGGTTTGAGAATTAGCCTTGTAGTGTGCCTCAGTAGAGTTCTTTTAAATGATTCTTCATCAATTATTTGTCTGTTATCAGCTATCTTAAAACGGAATGCAAATTTCGTTCATCATCGACACGACTTGGATTTGACTTCCCACGAGCAAGCGAACGCGTTTGATTTGTTTCATTTGGGAGCGCATTTATACGTCATCCGTAGAAGACTTTCGTTTGAACGTCTTGACTGACTATTGTATCCGCAAAACGCAGTCAATTTCATTTACTGGTGGATAATTCTCATCGTTCACCGTTCATTATCGTATTTAATGGTGAGGGGGGAATTCAGTTCCCATTTCCATTTTCTTTGGTCCAGAAAACGTCACTTCATTGCCCAAAGACGTTCATTGCCTGGAAGTATCATAATTATGCACTTCTGACAGGTTGCTCGTCCACCAGTTCAGATAGTTTGCATAACGGCCATCAAGAGCTTAATGAGTGTTCTAATTAATCCTCGTCATGCTCCTTTGTGTTAAACAAATTGTTGATGGTCCCCCGTAGCCTCGAAAATGGCACCCGTTATTCAACTATTATGAAGTTTCCCCAACCTTATTGTCAGTTTTCTATTCATTGTTCAACTTGCTGTTTGGCAGAGTGAAGTCTTCTGTTGATATTGTGAATAGTTCAGTCGCCTCGGTGGAATTCGAACCGACACATGGACACCACCTACTTTTGTGTACAGCATACGCCCTACCAGCTGAGCTACGAAGCCATACGGATCGTACCGGTCTTTTCACATTCAAATCACCCATTCAAGAGCCTGCGCTGTAAAAACGAGTAAGCCATGTATGGGTTAAAACCCCACCGAGGGTACTGCACTTTTCACAATCTCAACAAAATCAGTTAGCTTTCAACTGAATATTCTCCTTATTTCCAATAAATATGCAATGAGCCATCTGGTGCACACAGTTACCATCTGTCGTCGTAAAGTGGGGCCAACTGTGAGTCATTCACTTCACCTTAAGTCTCGAGCAAATTGCCCAAATCTGTAGTTCGACTGTGCAAGGGTGCAACGAGAATGAAATGTGTTGCCACAATGATGGGCCCCTATTCGATGGAGCTGAATCACAAAGGGAGAATCTGTAAAAGGCATGCAGTATTCCATCCAGGAATTGCCGTGAAAAAATCTTACTTCTGACTACCATAGATTTAGTCTCGATACTCCTAGGCGGTACTCTCAGTTCTTTCTCGGTATCCGAACATCCTTCGTCAACCACCTTGTCTTTCTCTGTCAAGCATTTACAGGCGATCGCGTTCGGTTTAGGATAATCCATGCAATCTGAGGCAAAATCGAACCCGAAGAAATTTTAACTCGTTTATTTATTTATGTATAAACGGTTCACTCTGAATAAACGGGTGTTGTCACAGACCCCATTCAATCGGTCATACGACGACCAAAGCACCAGCCCGTTGGTGGGGTTTCCGTTGGTAATTACAACGATTCCGCACAAAATGACTCTGACCTCGTAGTGGTTTCTCCTGCAGGTGATAAGGTAATGTACCGCAACTGTGAAACCACATGTATATTTATGTCAGTGAAATTTTGAGCCTGCTGCTGAGATTTGTTTGGTTTGGACTGATGAAACCAAAGAAAGTACATTGCATGTTTTTATTTCTCATTTCACAACTACTTGCGAGTAGTATAGTGAGATAACGGGTGTTGATTTAAACTGACTATCCCCTTCGGATTCCCTGCTCTCGTACAATCATCCAGTCTGTCA